ACTTAGTAGCAATCAAAATATGTGGTTAAAAATTTAGAAAAAAGTTTTTTTCAAAGAAATAATTTGTTACATCTATAAAGCTTCTTTTGCACAGCTAAACAGTATTGTTTCGTTACAAGTGTTTGCATCAATAGCTCATGTATCAAACTTTCCGTCTAGAGTAGTTGGAAAAAATAATAGGCTTTATTAATCATATTTTTTTACTGTCCGCTTACTTCCACCCCACCCCACCGCGTCTCCCCAGTTGTCCTCCCAAAAGCAACCTGTAAACCAGTTTTAATCAATTGACTCCGACATGTTCATTGTTTTTCCTCTTCAAATTCAGAAGCCATACTAAGGTTTTTTTAATAAATAGCAAATAAAAGATAGAGAAAAAAAATTTGGAAAAACTCTCAATACTGGTTCAATTCCACAAAATATTTTGTTCCGTCTTCTAAACCTTAAACAAGTATCATTTAAACCACTTTATTTCACCAACATATAGTTGTCAAGCATTTGTTTCTTCAGCCATTTTAACTCTCCTTTTTTGCCGCTTTTGATAAATAACAACAGAAAAATTTTTTTTATTTTCTAATTCAGTCGATACGTTCGGTACAGCAATACATATTTTTTTCAATCAAAACATCAGGGTACCAAACTGAAAAGTGCTTTCCCTGAATAACGGTAAGTTGCTTGCTATCTTTATGACTTTACTAACAGTCATAAGACAACAGAGGGAAAAAATGAAAACCACCCAAAGATTTTGAAGAACGAACGGTGTAAGCAAATCTTATGGCTATATGGGCAACTTGAGCATAGTCTAACAGCAGTAACTGCACGTTTTTGAAGATTCAGTATAAAGTTTGAACTTTCATACATTTTGAAACGATAACAGCAGATTCGGTAATTACTATAAGCTCTACGTATTGAAAAACAACAATGGAAAGGCTTCTTACCAACTAACTTTAGCAGAAGAACCACTTCCATCTGTTTTTTTAAAAGAAACCTAGTCAACCTCTTTTCACCTTCCACTTATTCATAACTTACCTAAAAAGCATCCATTTTAACAAATATTTCAAAAGATTTTCAGTT